CCAGGAACAGCTTCCTAGCAGCCACAGTAAAGAGAGTTAACTCCTTCCTGGCTGAATCCAGCACAAGAACACATGGCTCTGACAACACCAGAAATGTTCTGAGACTGCTGGCAGCTCAACGAGGTACAGTTTTTCACTGGGTATTACCGCATCTCAGTTCTTAAACTTCTTCAGAGTTTAGTCTCTTTGTGTTTCAATTTTTCCCCCAACTATTAAATGAGAGTATTGCTACCTTCCTCCTCCTGCAATGGAAGGAGCCTCAAGAAGTGTGGGAAAAGACTGTGGATACCAAGATACAAAGTGTTGCAAGGTCTGTGCTCTTCTCCATGATCAACTGTGACAAATTTTAGATGCGTCAGGTATTTCTTTCTCCTTGAAAATGTACATTTATTAACAGCACTATAGCTATCACAAGAATACTCTGCGTTATAACCAAGTGACCTACAAGTCCAGAAGCCATCTTCTAGAACATACTTACAGGTCGTATGAAAACTTCCTCTGAAGGTTAGTCTGGTTCTTTTGAAACCAGTAAACATCCAGCTGTAGCTTTCCATATTCTGTCTGCAACTCTTTCAGGTGTTCTGGACAAACAGAATTAAAATGTGTATTAAAATGAGCACGCACAAATATACACCTACAGGTATTACGATACTAAACAGCACATCCATCGTAAGCACGCCAACTCCATCCATCCGTCACGCTCACCACATCTTGTATTCCAGTGCAGAAGTAACTGCTGAATTTATTCATCAAAGATGCACATGATTGGGTAAGAATAGCGTTTCAGCCTAAGAGATTAACAAAAAGGGGGTAACAGATTTTTGACCTCCTTTTCTTCATAAGGAATACTGTAACTTGTCTGCAAACCCTTGCTCTGCTGGGTTTCAGCCCAGGAAAACGTCAGGTCTATGAAATACTGACTACAACACAGTATGAAACGGCATTCATGTTTATTAGCCATCTACAGACAACCCTACAATGCTTCCCTGAATAATATGCGATTTACAGTTATGTCCTCAAAAACAGGGGGATCTAAGAGTTTTCTTCCTGACAGAAAGTTCTGTGTGAGGGCACCAGAAGGCGGCACCACAACGTATTTACCTGTTCACAGAACTCTAGGATCTGTTCCCCAGACTTCCTGAGGAATAAATTGGTAACAACAATTTTGAAGCACCAATGTGAATAGGAATTAATTAGACCAAGTCGTCTTATTTAAATATAGGAGTTTGTGAATTCCCCTGGTGCTAAAATGCACAACCTAAACACCTCAGGAAGGAATTCAAGAATATACTGCAAAAGGTAGAATGAATAAATAAGTTAACAATACACACAGAAGCTGGCTTTATTCCATATTATGTCATAAGGGTCAGGAGTCCTACATCAATCACTACATGGACAAATCCTTCTACCACTGAGGCAGATTAGTCTGACACTCCCTAAACTGCAACGATGTCGATGCAGGATCCAAGTCACCCGCAGCTCCTGCACCATCGCCAACAGCTGAAGAAAGGCAGCATTCTCAGAAGACACCAGAAAAATGCAAGTCTTAAAATCCAATATAAGAGACATACGGAGGAGTATTGCAACATACCTCGTAGATTCTGGATCAATCGTTCATTTACTGTGATGTTATTCATCAGCACTGCCTGGAAGGACCAAAACAGAAAACAAAGGTTTAATTGCAGAGGACTGGTGTTCCCATTGATATTATAAACAACATGTGAAAGCAATACAATGCAAGGGCTCCGTGTTGCTTTTCCAACCATCCTCTCCCCCACCTTGGTCAGAAAGTGCTGGAGTGGCCTTCCATCCCTTCACTTTGCTCTCTCTCATCCTGCAGGCAGTTAACATTGGAACATGTTTTGTCCATTCTTTCACCAGTCCCCCTCTACCAACCCCTACATACACAGGCCCCAAAACACCCGAACAGTGACAGAACTAAGGCACACCTAAATTAAATGAACTCCGGTTGGCCAGATGCCAGGATGCTTCAGATTCACGTTTAACTACTGGAAAGTCTGGTGCAGGAGAGTCTAAATAAAACCCCTTAAAGATGAGATCCACTGACCATTCAGAAACAATCCAGTCCAGTCTTTGTAGCGTATTTCTGATGGTTCACTGGCAATTTCCTTGTTATCCTTCTCCCAGAAAACCCACTGTTCTGCAGGGGTCCCAGACCGGGATACACCAAGTCCCCAGTTTCCCAAAGTTTAAGCCCAAGTTCGGGATGTGTTCATATGCCCACACCACTTCAATGCAAAGAAATAACTGCATCCGTTCTGTCTGCCCAAGTCACCCTGGAACACTGACAATGCTGTCAGCACCTTTTTCTCCCCCCACCACCACAGAAATAAGTGCCGGTTGGTAAGGAAAAACAAAGCATTCGATTAACCTGAGTGGGACAGCACAGATCAGAGGGACAGGGTTTGTCTTTTGTTGCTCTCATGAGACCCCACCTGGAGTGCTGCGTCCAGCTGTGGAGCCCCCAATATCAGAAGGATATTGACCACCTGAAGCAAGTCCAGAGGAGGCCACGAAGGTGATCAGAGGGCTGGTGAACACCACCGTGAAAACTCAAGAGCAAAGGCCTTGCTCCTTCATTAAAAAGGTATAAATAACAATAACAACATATACTTCGGATTGTTTCATACCTCTCCTTTCTCATAGCACATGTGCAAAAAGGCTCTGGATTTGTCTTCACTTGTTTATTGGGGAAAAGAAATTAATGTTTCAGTGGAAATGCCAAGTTTTGCTAATGCATGACCAACATAACCAGGTTGTTCCATGATTATCGCCTTCAGGGTTTCCAGCATTGGCCATGACCAAAAATTGTCAAAGGACTGGAAAAAAATCAGTCAGTATGAGATGGAAATTTATCTTCCTACAGTTTGTGGTGTTGCAGGTTTTTGGTTTTTTTTTTCCTTTTAAATGAAACCTCCAAATACCAGGACAACTTACTTGACAGTAAAACTCTAATAACTGATTAGCTGAGGGAACAAAATGGCTTACCATGTGAAAAAGACTCCTTAAATCACAACATGGACAAAAAAGAGCGTGCCTTGGTCTTTCTGGATCGCATATACAACTTCCTTTTGGCAATGCCACACAAACCTACCTGAATTTGTGGGTAAAAGTCCGGGGTGGGGGTGGAGAAATCAGGAAGATGTAGTTAGCTGTTTAACTTGAGCAGGAAATACTGTCTAATAATTTACAGGGCAGTGCTCCAACTGCCAGCTTCCAAACCGACTGTATCAATAACGTCAGGCTTTCTGTTCCTCCTCCTGTGGTCCAGGTGTTAACTAATCTTCACCTCATGGCTGCGAATTAGGCAGACATTATTTGCTTTTGGGGTTTTATGCAGGTTAAGAAAACAAACTACTGGGAAGCACTCAGCAAACACATGCCGAAACTCAGTTCTAGGAAGAAACTCGTATTTTAAACCTCATTCAGCCCACAAAACAATACCTATGATTCCCAGGAGTGAGATGCCAACTCTTGGAAACTCACTGTACCACCATATCAAAACTGACGTTCTGTCATATAGTAATTAGCACAAAACCAGCTCGTTATACCTGCAAACATGTCTCACCCAGAAGTCTTTGTGAATATCACAGAGGAAAAGTCTGACTCCTGATTGGAATCAATGCTGTGGACCACAGGTCTTCAAAAGCCAAACACTAAAAGCTACAGTGCCACCAGCAGCGATGGAAGTATCCTGCTCTAGCTGGACAGGGATTTTTTAAGTGACAACTGCAGACTTTTTTTTTTAATTCATCACAAAACACATCTACATAAGTTATAGTCCACTTAAGACACAAAAGTTAAAAATTAAGAAAACCAAAATTTAACACAGAAATACTTGAGAGGAAGCTTTGAGATAAATTATTTCAAAGGGTATGTTTTGAGCACATGTTCTGAACAATGTACATACATTCAATCCAACTTGCTCTGGTTGGAGCAAGTCCAGAGGAGGCCAGGAAGATGCTCAGAGGGCTGGAGCACCTCTGCTATGGGGACAGGCTGAGAGAGTTGGGCTTGTTCAGCCTGGAGAAGAGAAGGCTCTGGGGAGACCTTATTGCAGCCTTCCAGTACCTGAAGGGGCCTACAAGGAAGCTGGGGGGGACTTTTTACAAGGGCCTGTAGTGACAGGACAAGGGGTAATGGCTTTAAATTGAAAATGGAGAGGTTTATATTAGATATCAGGAAGAAATTCTTCCCGGAGAGGGTGGTGAGGCACTGGAACAGGTTGCCCAGAGAAGCTGTGGATGCGCCATCCCTGGAAGTGTCCAAGGCCAGGCTGGATGAGGCTTTGAGCAACCTGGTCTAGTGGAAGGTGTCCCTGCCCATGGCAGGGGGGTTGGAATCTTTAAGGTCCCTTCCAACCCAAACCATTCTGTGATTCTATGAACTCCTTACACAGTAGTCTCCATAAACATATTCCTTGGATGCATCACTGTAGTTACTGTAGTAACTCCTGTGTTTGCTCCTGCCATACATCAAAGCTAACCCAAGGACACTGAACTGACAGATGTGCTTTCTAATGCTGACTCTACGTGGTATATATAAAAGCATGAGATATTGCAACAGGAAAAAGGAATAATACGGCAAAGAACTTTATGAGAGTGAACCGAAACCTAAGAAAAAAGGGGCTTTGCATTCACAAATACAGCTCACACAAGGAGAAGATGAGCCACAGCATCAGTACATCAGCTGCTAAAAACAAAACCAACTGGCAGAAAGCAAGCTGGGAGGGTAAGATTTATATGTGCAGAAACAAGCATATATAATTAATCAGGGAGAAGTGCACCTATTTCATCATTACCTCAACCTGATCCAAGTCCTTACTGTGAAGGAAAGGAGCAGTTCTGCCTCGTGTGCTCCTTCTGCTCCCCGCCACCATGCCGGCAGCACAAGCCACATTCTGATTATCTGTTGATTATTTCTTAATGAGATCTGGAAATTCCCACCCCCCTTCTCTGTTTTTGCAAAGACACCACCACACACACACACAAGTTCCTGGTAACACGCATCATCCAATTCTTTTCTCTCTTTCTACTCTTGTTCACCACTTTGAAATAATCCTCAGAAACTCTTTACACTAGGAACAAAAAGGTTTTTTCATTCCAGGGCATGAGATTAACTACAGGTTAGTACGTGGGGCAAAAAGGTCATAAATAAGATCCCTGAGAAAGCATTTCTCTTTTAGGTTGGTCTGAGTGCTGCACGCTCTTGTGTATTCAGTGGAGGAACACCAATTGAAGCAAGTCTAAAACAAATTTCAAACTCAAAAAGGAAAAGACATTGTTCATTTAAACCTATTTCTTACTGAAGCATTTCGTTCAGAAGTTACTAACTTTTCCCCATCCTCAAAACAAGGGAAAAAACCCAACCAAACAAATGAAAAAAACCAAAACCACACAAACACAAACCACCAAACCACAAAAACCCTAAAACCACAGCTCTATTCCCAAACAGTGATCCTGGTAAAGATCATGGACGCAATTTTCCTTCACATCCTCTGCTAAAAGAAACCCACTCTGGGTGTTTTTGTGTGATGAAGGACACATACACCATGACATGGTGAGGTTCAGCCCTCAAAACTGCCGAAACCACCAGAATTGTAAAGTTAACCATTTCTTACACTCTCAGCAGAAGAGAGAGGAAGTTGACACGTATGAATAAGAAATTGCTTTTACAGGTGCCAGGCAACAAGCAAGTGGATTGGAGAAAACAAGCCTTGTGCAGCTGCAGGACTTACATGACACAGTTACATTTAACTGAAACCCAAATAGATGGCAGTGTAAACAAAACAAATCATGTGATGTGAGAATCTTGATATAAAACCTGTACAGCTATATATAATGTTCCTTCTGCTCTCTTTTTTGTCCATTCATTTTCCTGTGAAGAGGTAGAAATATTCCAGTAGTTAACTCTTAAGCTACGCATTCACTGAATTTCCACTCTTATGGTTCAGCTCGTGCCAAACCATCCTTTTTTTTTTTTTTCTCCACCATGTAAAAATACATTTTTAAACAGAGTTAGTCTTCTTGACCTCTGCTCTACCAGTTATGAGTAAGCTGACTGATTTCTCTTGCTAATTTAGTAACATCATGCTATGGTAAGTGGAGCGGGGTGTGAGGCAGCCTTAAAAGCTTCCCAAAACCTGAAGAAGCAAAATTGTTCGGTTTAAAAACCAAAATCAAAACACACATAGGCACCTTTTCCTTTCCACAGCTGGCTTTATTCTCTCTCCACCCCACCTCCCCACCAGTGTCATTCCTTTGAGCGGAGATGACTCCCTGCATATCAAATAAGTATTTTGTCTCAGAAGGCTGTGCTGGGAATTGAAATTTTCCCAGAGGGAAGGGATCTGAGAGCAGCTGTGGCCAGCATTACAAGATACTGAACAACAGGACCGCGACGTGCTTCACATACAGAGGCTGGCCCCTCTGCTCAGTAAAATAAGATAGGGGCTGGGGAAAAACTACATAAATCCAAAGAAGACGACAAAATGCGAAAGCATGTTCTAGCTGTTAAAAATAACAGCGATCACAAGTACTGTTCTCCTGTTACACTCTTCAGCAAGACTACTGTGGCTGTGTACATCCCAGAAGCTACGAGCCCTGAATAACAAGCACAAAGAATATTGTTCTTCGGAAAATCGCTTATGGGTTAGAAATAGCCCTTTTACACTCCTGATTCCTTATCTGTGGTTACTAAGAGTTCGTGTAAGCTCTCTTCATCTCTGCAGCCTATTTCTGCACGGATTTCCAGAAGCCATTTGCTAAATCTACGTTAATCCTTAAAAATTCAAGCAGATATTTTTAAAAGCAGACTGCTGATAGAAGCGTTTTACACATACTCAGACCTAAGAAAATATATACGACAACAATTTCCCAGGATTACACTGCCTCAGTGAATGGTGAGCCCTGTGTTCCAGGCTCTGACTACCTCCTGCCTTCTATGCCCTCATCCTTTTAAGTAGCAGAGACTGTTTTAGAGAAGAAGGCAGATTTAACTGGGAGTGATTAGTACACTGCCACTGGCAATGACTTCAACGTGGCAGGTATCCCATTGGTGTATTGGTTTGGTATGAAACTAAACCAGTGGTGTAATTATTCTGTATTTTATCAGCAGAGTAATCAGACACAGTGAGCAGAGATGAACTGCAACTGACATGGGCCTCAAACGTTACTGGAGAGTCGCTTTGGTAAGGAGTCCAGGTTGCAGAATTTTGTTCCCATATAGACTTCTTCTGTAACCAGAACCATGGAAGAAAAATGGGGGGTGGGGCGGGAACTGAGACAGAGATTCACTCCTACATATCAGCTGAAAGCATCTTCATTTTTCTTTAACTAAAGAAAATCACTCAGAAGTCTGTCTAGGTAGTTAGACAGTTTGTGTTACTTGCAAAGCAAGCTGAGAGCCTCAGCATTTGGGTTTGCATCCATCCTTCCTGGACTAGGTAAATACTTCCTGCTATTCCCCAAGGACTAAGTAACGTTCAGTTCAGAGACCAATTTTCCTATAAGCAGAAAGGGTGAATTCATTACTTGCCTCCCAGGAATCCCAGATTCCACTGGAATTTTGGAACCAAAAAGCAAGGGCATGTGTGTGCCTGTGTGTGCATACAAATACATATGTATGTGCATGTGAATATACCACACACACTTATACATGTATACAGATACACATACACACACAAAAAAAAAAGGCACCCAGAAACAGTCTTTTCTTATATTCCACATCCCTCTGTGGAATAAAGTCTGATCTAAGCTTCTTCAGATCAAGGTCGTTTGGAGAACTAACCTTACCCTCTCTTCCCAGCCACCGTACCAGGGGCATTCCTAAATTAGAGTGGATAAATCCATGCCAACTTGACTGATGGCATCTTTTGATAAATACACAGGTTCCCAGTAAAACAACCCTCCCTACTCTTAAACCACAGAGTTGGAAAACAAACAACTTGTGTCCTACCACTTCAGGCTCCTGAAACATACTCTTTACAAGTCCCAAAAAGCAGAAGACAGGAAATCAGTCCACTGCACCACAGCCATACTAGATTGGCCCCAAAATCCACCCTGCCCAGCATCCTGTCTCTAACACTGGATGCCGAAGGAACACCAAGGCAGCCACAGAGCACAGCATTCCCAAGCAGCAGCTACTTCTGGTTGAGGAACAGCTGGACCCAAACCAAACACCTTTGTATTGGGTGGTGGGACAGGTGTTTCTCCAAGGTTATCCAGCTGCTTTTAACATACACAGACCTGCTGCAACTGAATGGACATCACACACTTGCAGCTTCACCATCCATCGTGCAAAGAGCCCTTCTTCTGCACAGTCTGAACTGCAACTCTGACCGCATGTGGAGCCTGTCAGTGCATGGAGAACAACCATGCCTTGACCCTCCCAGCCACAGGCACTTTCTGCACCACTCAGGATCCTGGAGGTGCTGGCAATGGCTCTCCTCAGCTGGCGCTTATCCAACCTGTCACCTGTACTGTGGATTGCTGTAGAGAAACCATGGCACAGCTTTGGTTATCGTCCTTGGCCTTCTCTGCGTGCCCTTCCCAGGTTTCCCAAACTCCACCAGTGACCTCCCCACAGTACAACCACTAGCCCAGTTTATTCCTAAGCTGCTCTGTAACTTTTGCCTATCACACAGCGCTGCGTAACACCATCTTACCACGTGGCTGCGTAACTTCTCTACAAGCCGTGAGTGCGAAGCCTTTTGCAACTCCAGGTTTGAATGCATGCATTAGCCTCCCTCATCCTTGTCACTGACTCTTTCAGAAGAAAAGCCCAAGAGACTTCAGAAGCAAAACTACCTTTTCCAGAAGCCGCTTCGACTCTTCCCTGGACTACCACATTCACCCCCAGCTCCAACAGCAGCTAACGGTTTCGTAAAATACTTCCCACCGCTTTTCCTGGCACAGACGTCAGATTTAATGGATGACAGCTCCTGCCTGCCTGCTATGCTCAAAATCACCACCACCACAAGAAAGGCGGTTTGTGTGGTGCCAGCTGCATTTGCCTGGCACCACAGTAATCTGAAGCAGAAAGGTTGCACACCATGCTTGGCAGAAGCAACACTTCATCCACCCAGCTTCCTTAAACTCCTGGGTGGGCTGCTGTCACCAGCTCCCGACATCCACTCCTCTGGCCAGCCTGCACTGTAAACTCCATGCCCAGCAGTTCCGATTCCAGTCACTTGTTCTGGCTAAAGGAAAATTTACTTATGAAAATGAAGCATAAAATGTACTTCCCTTGTAAAAAAGACTGTAGAGTAAGTTAAGCAAACACCCACTTTTGTTTGCCCTTTTCTCACCACACTCCCCCCACCCCCTTTTTTTGCAGGGTGCGGGGGGTGTTACACTCATGCATGCTTTCAATCCTTGCAGGACAGAACTGGAACGCAAACAGATGCCAAACCAGAACGATGGGTTTCACCAACATGTAAACCGGGGTACCTTCCCAGAGGACAGTAAATTTCAACAGTTTCCAAAGCCCTCAGCAGCAACGTGCACTACTGGGAGGCAGAAGTGACAAGACTGATTACTCACCCAAATGCTGTCTGATCATCCTGGGCTATCTTTTTAATAAACAGACACATGATTAATAAATAGACGAACTATACCTCACCTTGCTCAAGTTTTGAGCAGCGAACCACCACCTAACGGTGAACCCTGTACCTGAACAGCACCTATTACCATCATCAGTTGTGCCTGTTCAGTCTACTGAAAATAATAGTTCTGCAAAGCTGTTCTATGAACTTCAGCCAAGAGACTCTACAGGAGAAGCAATAAACCCAGAATGAATACTCTTGGCTAAGTACTTCTGGCAACAGTGAGAAAAGTACTATTGATGATTAACAGCTACATCCGAGGCGGTATCAGCAACGTGAGCAAAATACACAAGACAGTTTGCAAGACACTACGCAGCAGTAATCGTACATGCTGCTGTTTTAGTAGGTATGTTCACGTTCTTCACAAAGGCCTTCCATCCCTCTGGCAATGCTGCACTGCCACCAAAGGTGAGTCTAACCTCCTGGTGTCTCCAAGTGCAACTCGATTTTGGAGGCAGAAGGCCAAGGTGCCACAAAATTCGTAATCCATTTCAAAATAAATGTCAACCATTTCTGCCGACGGATATATAACAAATCTATTTTTTATACCACCTGAGGAACCTGAAGGTGCACACATCCATGTGACCTGATGAAATACATCTGCGGGTCCCCAGGGAACTGGCGGATGAGGTTGCGAAACCTCTATCCATCATATTCGGCAAGTTGTGGCAGTGAAGTTCCCACTGACTGGAAAATGGGTAACATAACCCCATCTTTTAAAAGGGAGAAAAAGACAATCCAAAAGGATGGACTTTTTATGAGGGATAATGGTTTTTAATTGAAAGTGGGTAGATTTAGATTGGATATCAGGAAGAAATTCTTCCCGGAGAGGGTGGTGAGGCACTGGAACAGGTTGCCCAGAGAAGCTGTGGATGCCCCATCCCTGGAAGTGTTCAAGGCCAGGCTGGATGAGGCTTTGAGCAACCTGGTCTAGTGGAAGGTGTCCCTGCCCATGGCAGGGGGGTTGGAACTGGATGGTCTTTAAGGTCCCTTTCAATCCAAACCGTTCTATGATATTTGGGAATGCGAATCTATCTGTTGGTGCAGCTTCTTCTTTTCCGTAAGTTGTTTTAAAACGTTAGAATACAGGAAAGGAAGCCAGAGGCCAACCCAAGGTTGACAACAATGACTTATGGAGGAGGTAGAGGTTTTATTCAGAAATGCTGTTACTTGTAGTTTCTAATATTCCACATATCACACACTGAATGCTATAACGTGCATTCAATGTCCACTTTCTAAGTATTATACCATGACACATAAATGTTTTGCCACACCAACACTGACTGTATGCCCATCAGCTGGAACACTTGAGCAACCTTACGCTGCTGCAGACAGTGTCTTTGTAAACCACAGTCTCACAGAAAACTATGGCTAGAAAAAGCCCTACCTTCTCTTCCTGATGTACTCTGTTGGCATTTTCCATCTGAAAGCTGTGCAAGGACTGGATTTTGTCAATTTGCTCTCGCTGCTTCTCAAGCTCCCCTCGGAATTCATTCTTCTTGAGCTCCACGGCGCCCCTCTCTGCTGCCGCCCTCCGGACTTTGCCTTCCAGATCCAGGATCCGACCCTGAGGAAGAGCAAATCAGCCAAAGCAAATAGAAATGCTTCCCTCTTGCTGGACTCTTCTCCAATACATCCAAGGAATACCAGATTTAACAGAACTAACAATGTTTAAGTCATCAACATATTGTGTCACCTGGTGATACCTCACACAGCCCAGCACAAAACTCCACACACTGTGATCCTTTCCCTAATTCCTTAGACGTAAGCCATCGACCAGGTCTGGGACTAGGCGTTGATTCAGCCACACCTTGACTTCTCTTTCAAGAAGTTTTAGAAAGCAAGGGGGTCCACTCTGAACCTCATGACTGAACAGGAGGAATTTCCTTGCCCCTTTTCCTGAGTACACACCACAACAATCCCATTCTGACTTGATTTCCCTGACTCTGTAAATTAATTTTAATTCATGTATAACCCATTTTAATCCACTGCTAGTTTGATTTCGCCTTCGTATGCTTTTCTGTGTCAAGTAAGTAGCAGAGTGGACCTTGCCATCAAACTCTTAAGTCATGCTTCTCACAAATTCATATTAAAAATAACAGCTTTTCCTCTCATATTTGTGACGCTGATCTTTTAAGCACTAACACCATTTAAAGCACTCAGCACAGCCTCCATTTCGTGACAAAGGTCATATATTTTTTTTAATTTAATCCAGACAATTCTGGCATCACTGCACTTCCCAGTGTTGATTGTAAACTCAGAGGGAAAACTCATCTCTCAA